ATACTTCTAATGATAGGGTGATCTCTTTTTTGGAAACATCTCATTCTATTCTGGGCACTGATATGAAATATCAGTATCAATCTTATTCCTCCAATTACCAAACAAGCAATCTTGTCTGGATGTAGTGGTATACACCTGTAATCCCAGCACTCTGGGAGGCTGAGGCAGGAGGATAATAAATTTGAATCCCACAGGGCTAGGGGAAGTAGCTACATATGAAGACCCCAAGTTCAATTCCCTGTAAAACACACACACACACACACACACACACACACAGAGTAACCTTGACAACCCAGGAAAAGTCAGTTCTCTATATTTCATGCAGTCTTCATTTACTTTCAAGGTTCAAGTTACTTCAAGATTGACTGTGGACATAACATTACTGCTAATCTTTAATCCTGTATTCCTAACCACATCTGAGATACGGTCTTTACACGGAAAGACTTAAAATTCAGTATTTCTTATTTAGCCCCTTCCCAGTGAACATGCTATTGTTGCTGTAATTTTTTAAAAATTCAACACTATTGTTTTATATAATCTGTTTTAATTTATACACTTTCTATTTTCATGTTCCCTTCTGCATTTAAGTAATTTTCTTTTCTTTTTTTGTTTTAGTACTGGGGATTGAACTTGGGATCTTGTGCTTGCGAGGCAGGCAGTGGAACCATTAGGCTAAATCCCTGGCCTGCATTAAAGTAATTTTCCACTTGAAATGGATCTTGCAGAGATTCCTTTGGAGGAAAACTTCTAGAAAGGGTCTAGTAATGGCAATTCTGTTTCTGTTGTCTAGAAATATCTTACCGACACCTTCTTTCTTGACAAACATTTTTGATAGATACAGAATTTCAGACTGATAATTATTTTCTTTCAGAACTGTTTAGGAATCATCCTTCTGTCTTCTGGCTTTCTCTCTTGCTCCTGGGAAATCAGTTTTTGGTCTCCTGAAGGAAATGTCTTTTTTTTCTGACTGCTTTCAAGATTTTTGGTAATTGTAACCATTAATCATGATACGTCTGTCTATATAAATGAATGAAGAAACTTCTAGCAGATTAGAAAGCACAGCTCTTCATGTATCCATGGATGACTGACAGGTAGGACAGCACACTGAGGGAAGAAGACCCACTTGAGATGTGGATGGCACCAACCAACAGGCTTGTAGACTGAACTGGACAAAAGGGAAAGGAAGAAGGAAGTGTCCTTATTTTGGAAGAGCTCAATCTTTGCCATCACCTCTGGACATCAGCCTCCAGTTTCCTCAGTTTTCCATCACAGACTTGCAACAGCAAGTGAGTTTCTAGGTCTTTGGCCTTGGACTGGTGCTGCATCCTTGATCACTACTGTTCTGCAGCTTCCATCTTCTTGAGCTGAGCAGTTGCTGAATTCTCTAGCTCTTCAGTATATGAACAGCTGTGGTAGGTTTTCCCACCTCTGATCCTGCAGATGACCACTATGGTCTCTTCCACCTCTGATCCCTTAAGCCTACCTAATCTCCTTGCGTAATTATACATATATTTTCTATTCCTCTACAGAACCTTAACTAATACAGCCATGATCTGTGTTTATAATTTGTAGATTTTTTTTAACTTGTTGGGGATTTGCTGAGTTTAACAATGCCTCTGTCCATACTTTTTCTTCTAGTACTCCAATTAGAATACTTTCTCACTATCCTTTCTTTTATTCTTTAGCCTCATGTCCCTTTGTGCTGCTTTTCCATATACTTTTTCTAGTTTAGCTTCCAGTTCACTGATCTAATCAGGTACAACACTTATCAATTGTGCTTTTATTTCAACTCTATTTTTCTGGAAATCTGTTTTCAACAATGCTTGCTCTTCATATTTCCAAGATTATTTTTATCTCTTAAACAATTTCTGGTCTGCACCTGATAACTTCTGTATCTAAAGTGCCTTCAGGTCTGCTTCTGTTCAACAATGTTCTGAGGCTCTTACTTGATGAGTCTTGTTTTCTGATGATGCATTTTATGATGTATTTATTGTGAATTGCTTATTTTCCTTAGAACATTATCTGGAGAAATCCCAAGGAGTATGAAATAATGATTAGTTCTTCCATAGAGGATCTGTGTTAGCTTGTCTCAGGCACTAAAGAGACACTACCATTTTAGAGTCATTTTAAATAAATTCTTAGTATGAGTTTTTGTCTGTCTGTCTGTCTGTCTGTTTTTGAGACAAGGTCTCATTATGTAGTTGAAACTGACCTGGAATTCACTATGTAGCCCAGGCTGGTCTCAAACTCACAGTGATCCTCAGGTCTCAGCCTGCCTCCCAAGTGCTGGGATTACAGGTGTGCACCACCACAACTGGCTATGTATGAGGTTTCAACACTCAGTATGATTTGGGCTGCAAACTTAAGTGAAGGCCAACTGATATATATACAGTTTACATATATATTAGTTTTCAAAGGAGACAGCATTAAGGTTTGAGAAACAATTTTCCTTTTAGGGGAGCAGATGAGCATATTTTGGGATTCCAAACTTACTGATGGGAAGGGAAGGGGACTTCAATTACATTTTCTACTGCCAGTCAGAACCAGAGATTTACCTATTGACTTCTGATCTCCATAAAGTTACAAAGCTGTGAAAACTGATTCAGCAAAAGTTCTTAAGGTTACTATCTTCTTTAGTGCCTTTACTTTTCTAGATTCCTGTCTTAAGTGCCTTCTCCAAAACTCCTCACTCCCACACTGGTGACTGAACCCATGGTTGTTGGTTCTTCCCAACCTTTTTATTTTATTTTCAGACAGGGTTTTGCTAAGTTGCCAGAGCTGAGCTTGAACTTGTCATTCTCCTACCTCAGCCTCTCAATTAGCTGGGTTTATAGTCTTGTACCACTGTTCTGGCTTCACTTAAATTTTTGGCCTGGGAATTCCATATTTTCTTTCCAGGAAATTAAGCTGTCATTTTAATTTTTTTTTTTACCTGGAGAATTGGTGTAGGTATCGAGTCAGCCCTATTTCCAGAAAGGAAGCTCTACAGACATGTAGTGCCTTTAAGCACAGGAAAATAGTAAATGTACGCCAGGAAACTAGGCCTCAAAGAATTATTCTATCTCCTTGAACATCATCCATTATAGCCACTCCATCATAACATAACAAACCCTGTTGACAGATTCTGCTTTCAAATCTCTGATTTTTGAACTCAGAACTTTATCACTATAGTCCTAGATATGGGTCTTACCTCTTTTTAGTCAAACTTCTAAGAAGAGTTTGGAATATCTAAAACAGCCTGCACACAGCTAAGTCTTAAAGCTTTCTAAAATACTGGCTTGGTTGTATTAGCCTTCTTTTACAAAATCTTCATCATCATTTAATAATAGGTTGGGCTCCAAAATGTCAATATTCCAATATCTGGTTCTACTTTACCTATTCAAGCACAGATTCTCAGCCCAAAACAGGCCTATCTTCTTTTTGCCCTCTGCATAAGCCATGGGTACTTCTGCTAATATGCCTCTGATCCACAGCCTTCTTAACTAAATGATACCAATCTTTTCAGGCCTCTCCCTTTTGCAAAGTTTTTCCTGATAACTCCCAATATGCTTGCTCTGCCTTTAACTTCCCTGATCCCTTGTGTATGCAGTATATATTTTAATTAAATACAATTAGACATAATTTTTTAGTCTTTGAAGTCAAGAGATTTTAATTTGCTTAGCTAGCATTCTAACCTAAGTCTTACTCTAAAGTTTTTGCTCCAATATATAAAACTGTCTCTCAATATTCAATAAATACTGTTGATTAACATAAGAAACTAGACTATAAAATCAGAATAAAGCTTTACATTTAATTGATTTATTTTAAGTTGGTTAGAACAAAACAGAATCTTAAATTGCATTAAATTTTTAAAATTTTATTTAAAATTTATTAAATTATTAAAATTTTAATTTATTTTCAATTTTAATTTAAATAAATTCCTTAGAAAATTCCCTCAAAAGGAATACAAAGCTGTTTTCCAATAAGGATTTTCCTGTTTTGTTTTGATTTTTGGTACTGGGGATCCAACTCGGGTCCTTGTGCTTGCAAGGCAGGCAGCAAAACCACTGAGCTAAATCCCCAGCCCTCCAATAAGGATAATTAGTTTCTCCAAAAGATTCTCCAATTAAAAAATGTTAATCAAGAGATAATTTCAGGCTTTGAGAAAAGAAAAAATCAAGACTATAATCATGAAGCAATTACGAGAGTTACTCTTTCTTTTCCAAGAGAACACAGATTATTAAAAGCAATAGAAATCACAATGTTTAGTGATAAAAATGATGAATGAGGCATGTGCATTTAAGTCTCCTTAATTACACGGCATTGGCCTTACAATATGAAAAACAATAAAACTGTCACATTTAACAACAGGTTCTAGAAAATGAACAAAGTAGCCCCTCAATGAAGCCCTTTTACATCAGGGACAATCATCTGCACATACATGCATGGTGTATTCCCCTCTACTCCCTCTCCTCCTCTACTCTTGCTCTAGTATCTCCCAAATCTAGATACCACAATGCTTGAAATCACATCTTTTGAAGACAAGAGTTTCAGATTTAATGGAGCCCTTGTAACTCAATATTTTTCCCCAAAATACAGGATGTCTGTGAAGTTTGAAGCTATTAAACTGGCAGTGTGATTTTATTTCTTTGTTTACATTTCTTCATGATAGAAATAATATTTTTAAAATGGACCCAGATGGGTCAAGAGATTGGAAAGGGTTGGTAAAAGAGGATACAGAACCTAAGAAAAACTATTACACAATTTTGAGTAGCAGTTGATTTGTTGTGAAAACATTATAAATCCTTTGTCCATGACATTTTGACACTTAAAAATGAATATTTAGTTTCAACAAAAATAAAGTTATAACATCTTTAAACAAAGTAAATGACATTTTTGTCAAGGCTAAATAAATCTTTCACAAGATAAAAGGTGATTTGGCAAAAAAAATGAATTCATTATTTTTTCAATTCTGATAACATCTGAATAGTGTATCCAAATTTGTTAAATAAAATCCATACCTCATATTCTTTTCTGCAAACTTTGGAGATATCATTCTTTGAAGATGCCTAAAAGACAACAAATTTCTCCATTAATTTATTATACATGGTATTTGGCACAGGACAAAAAAAGTACAGAAATTAGTATATGTTAATTGCTGGTGTGTAATATTCTTTATTTTATGAAGGCAAACCTTATACTCAAATACTTAAAAAGTTTCTAAAATGTAACAAATTTCATGCACTATCTTTAAAATAAGCAATAGGACCTATTCAATATGCTAGAGCTTCACTCTAACTTCTCTGGTTTTAATCTTACATAATAATAACACAGTTCTTCTGTTATTTAGGAAACTAGATGACTTTGAAGGCCATGTATATCAGAGGACTTTTCTTTTTAAAATAAATTCCACTCTAGCAAATTTTCTTGTGAAGCTTTGCCATAGTAAATTTTCTTGTGAAGCTCTGCCAGGGCACTTATATTTTGCTTTTTCTTTAACCCTTCATAGTCAAAGCTTTTATAGTGAATGTACTATCGCTTCTCGGCCTTTTGGCTAAGATCAAGTATAGTGAATGTACTGGCTTAATCCTCTCAGAAAAGTGCTATTTATAATAGAGAGGGTAACTAAACAAGGGATGAGTACTATGCCAGGCATTTAACAAAATTTACTTTTATGTAATTTTCTTAACAAGTTTATGAGGAAGATATTATCCCCTCTATGGATTAGGAAACTGGTGCTCAGAGAAATAGCAAATTTACTACACTTAAATAAAACAAGCCCTCCCCCCAATCTGCCAATAAGTGGCGATTCTTTCACATGACATCAGCCTCCACTTACAGTTCCAGAGACATGGGCTCTGGGTCCCTTGTTGTTTTTCTTCTTATTCTATCACCTAGACCCATGGAATTTAGAACAAGCCAGCTGATGAGAATGAAGAAGGTATGAAGCAGAGCGGGCTGGCAAATGCTTTATGTCTCACTAGACCTATTATAGCTCAAATTTTCTACAACTCACTTTAATATATAGAGACAGCAGCAGATAGCTAGGTCATGTGCTGCCCAAAGAGTGTTGTTCAGGCTATAATACACTTTGTATAATACCACATCTCCAATACTCCTATCCAAAGACCAGTCTCTAGAAAAAACTTTAAGAGGCTTCTCAGTTGTGGTTTCAAATCCATTTAAATAATCATCTAAACAACTTATCTAGCTTTTCCCAGTTAAGTCTACTTCCACCATATGGAGTGGAGATGCTAGGAGGCTGGTTTTCCACTGAAGACTACTATGAATATATGCAGTGAGGAAGAACTCAGGAGCCTAACTAGGACTGTAGGAGTCACACTCCCTTTAGGAGCAGAAAGGAGGTGTGAGAACATGCCAGGATAAAAGCTCAGAAAGAAGGGAAGAAGAAAATGAAATAAACCAACTCTATCAACTGCTCTCATCCAAGCATATTCAAAGCATATTCATTTACTTGGAGTTGGTTAGCAATGACTCAGCCTGACCATGGAACAAAGTCATGTTGGAAGGTCTTAATTCCTATAAAATTCATTCCTTGAATGGCAGAGAGAGGGAAAAGGTAAGAAAGTAAATACGAGATAGCTGAGGGTCTTACTGTATTGGCCATAACGAAAAAACAGTAATTCTAAAAGGAAACGATCTATGTAAGAAATGCTAAATTTGCAGTTTCTGTGGTCATCTCCCCAAAGCTACAACTGTATTCCATGATGCTTAATAAGCCCAAATGCCCGTTGTTACCTGCTTGCATGCCTGTCGACACTCCAACGCAATTGCCAGCTCACAACAGCCTAAGCCAACCCAGCCATCAGACTTCTTAAACACACCTTAAAAACAAATGTTCAAAATTTTGGTAGTAAGTAGTGACAGGGACAACTAACACACCAAACTGTTCCACAGATGCCACCAAAAGATGTCCATGGGAAAGCTAGCTCAGACAGCAAGGCCTCAAAATTATTAATACCTTCTCTTCATCCTTACTCCCAATGCTATCACCGCTAGTCCTTACAGTCCCCCACAGAATACTCATCAGGTCCTTTGTTTTTCTTCCCTTTTCTTTGCTCCCCTTGAACTCTCTTTAAGTAATTCTTTTATGTAGATTAGCATCTCTCTCAGAGGACATACAAAGTAAGACATACAGAGCAGTTATGGGAAAGGCTGTTCCCTTATTTTCAGACTATGAATCAGAGGCAAAGCTTCTAATTTAATTTAACATGCAAACAAGCAAACAAAAAAAGAGCACAAGTATTATTGTGTTCAAAATATTAAATATGAAATAGAGCGTAAAAACCATGATCCTGTTTTAAAACTAATACTTAGGGGCTGGGGGCATGGTTCAGTGGTAGAGAGCTTGTCCAACATGTGCATGGTCCTATGTTTGATCCCCACCAACAAAACAACCTCCAAAAGCACCCCTCCGTACTTAGAAAACATGCAGGAACAATTTTTGTGAGGCAAGCCTTGCTTTGATGGGCACATTTAATCACAGAGCAAAACTGCTCTGTACTTTTGGTTCAATTTATGCACAGCAATGATTTAACCAAATTACTGTGAAATCAAAAGATAATACATAAAAAACCTTTTAATACGTTTTTAGATCTCTTCTGCAACCATAAATGTTAACAAATGACTCCTAGCACAAAATCACAAGAAATAAGAAATAATTATAAAAAGAGAAGAAATAATCATGAAAAGAGAAAAGACAAACTTGAAAGGATGTGCACATTCCTTGCTTCCTTTACAAAATGCTTTATGCTACTTCCATGTAATATACAGATTTGCCAGTTCACATCTGCATTAGGTTGTTACTTACATTTGGAAAACATGGTAAGGACTCAAGGCAATAGGTAATACAGATATCTAAATGTAGCTAGGATTTAATATGACAAATAATATAAGTATCTACTGGAAAACAAAGCAAAATAAATGAAAGCAATAAATGGTTTACAGACATACAAATTTCTCAAAATTGTCCCCCAAACTGATTAAATATAAACCACTTCCACTATAAAAACTGACTAAAAAGACTTCATATAAGCTACTTTATCTCTATATATATTTTAAGAGTACAAAGACCAACAGACTCCCATCTAGCCCTAGAGCCTAGGACTTTCCTTGGAATATGTGTTGCTTGCTCTTCAGAATCTCTCATGTTAGACAGAATTGTGAATAGAATCCACATAGGTCCATAAACTCTGAGCTATTATATGTAATGAAGTACACTGCTATTTCCATGTATCCAGTGGCCTCAGGAAATACTGAATTATTGAACAAGCTTTTACATTTACTGAGTCCCTACTAAGTATAACATATTCCATTTATGGCTGTGTGGACTACAAAATTATGAAACAGATAAAACATATGACTCATTTCATAATTGAGATTACAGTTGGGTACTCCATGGGGGTGTGTGTGTGTGTGTGTGTGTGTGTGTGTGTGTGTGTGTAAATTCTAGGGTACTAGGTAGAAAGATTAGGAGAAGAGGCAAAGTGGGTAATTCCAGGAAAGCAAATAGCCCAATTTGTTTGAAATGCAAACTTCCAACAGTGTGGCACTTTTTAGAATTCAGAGATATATAAGGTATATTCCTTCTTTTAAGGCAAGGGCTTTAAGCAGGACTGGAAAATAAGTGTTAATTCTAGAAGACCAAGAATGCCAGGCTAGAGAGTTTGGGTTTTTACTTCAATGGATATCCTGAGGGATTCTTTCTGAAGGGGCCAGGGAAGATGAACATAACATGTTGAAATGGCAATCGTAAGTTTATTATAATATTCTATCCTTCAAAGACCAGAATTAGGAATAAAGGCAGATGCAAAGTTTTGCAAGAGGACAGTCAATGGAACTAGAAGAAAAAGGAATCAAAGATAACCTGCAAGTTTCCAGTTTTGTATCATTCTCAGTAGTGGCAGTTATGTGTTTGATTGGGATTTGCATTTCGGGTGCCACCTGTGTAGAGAAACCCAGGTAGAGAGGTCTGTAAGTCAGAAACAACAAATAAGATTTGAGAGTTCCCTTCCTAGAGCTAATCTGATAACTATTCTGAAAGGAATGAGACTATGAGGGTGAGGGTAGAGGAAGAAGGGAAGAACATCACACACAGGAAGAACTACAGTCCTATGGCAGCTAAGAGGAGAAAATAAGATCCTAAGGCCAAGGTGAAGTGGTAAGAAAGGTCAATAAAAGACAGTAAAATCAAAGACAGTAAATACTGAGAAAAATTCATAAGACCTAGGAATAAGATCCTGGGGATCTTTCAAAGACTAGATTCAGGAGAATGGGTGAAACAGATGCAAGAACACAAAGTTAAGAAATGAACATAGGTGAGAATAAATTAAAAATTTATTTTAACAATTGACTGTTGGAAGCGAAGGATAAAAATTCTAAAGTATAAATTAGCTTGCAGAACTATGACATAGATTTTACATCCATAAAATAAGTTTTAAAAATTAAAATGTTAAATGTTACATTGCTATTGCTTACCTGGCAAAGATGAATTCATACAACTCCAAATTTCAACCTGAAATTGTAATCACCAAAAAAACCTTATGGAGATAGCCAGTTTCTATAGATGATAGTTTATTTCTATAGTATAGTTACTGTAATTTCATTATGGCTGGGTCCATTCAGTCAGAGTTCTAGGTTAAATATACATCATTTGGTAAAAATAAAAATTAAAAAAGCAAGATACAAAATTATTGCTTATTCTTTTCCTATTTTCTCACCTAAAAGTACTAAGGGCCACTCTGGTTACTCAGGATACAAGTATATAACAGAATGACTTAAGAAAAATACGTTAGTCAGACCTGTTTGGCTGTCAGCGTTTTTCTCTTCCACAGAATTTCCCTTCCACAGCTTTCATGCAAGCTCAGGCTTTCTTAGCCTGGCTCCTGAGCACCCAAACACCAAGGTTAGCTCAAGCCCTGGAAACGTTAAATTACCTGATTCTGACAAGCAAGTAATACATCTATGGTATGTCAGAAAATGGAAAGATGAGAATAGTATGCTATATATTTTCCCTTATCCCAAATTCAATTTTTCAAAATAAAAACACAGACAGATTTATTATAGTTTTCATAAAATTAATTAAAACAACTCCAAATTCCAAATAAAATATTATAGTAAAATCTAGACACCGGGGGCTGGGGTAATTAGTTCAGTGGCACTGTGACTGCCTGGTAAACCCAAGGTCCCAAGTTTGATCCCTGGAACCACCACCACACACACACACACACACACACACACATACACACACTGGAATTAAGATTGTTTTTTGACCTACATCCTCAAATAGATTTAAAAAAAAGATAATATTTTATCTAGTAATTTGTGTGAAGATTGTTTAAAAATACTGTACGGCTTACATTTTACATGGATCACAAATTCCAAACACATTTAAAAAGTTGTTAAATCTAAAAGTAACCCATTAGATGGTTTTCATTTACGAAAAAGCTTCCCTAGTTCAGTAAGACTTACCATTGTTTCTGGGCAATAATCTGGGGCTCGTTGTAATAGGTGTTTCAGTCGGGATTCACTTTTTGAGGAGAAAATCTATTTGACAAAAAAAAATATTTTGTGATATTTTTTCCTACAGGAAAATCAAGAAGGGGTAAAATTTATTATCCTTGAAATTTATCAGTTATATAGAGTACTTTCCAACTTCTTTTATCAGTTAAAACTCTTCAGAAGGATTTAAATTAAGCTGAGGTAATGTTTCTAAAAGGTTAATTCGTTTGGCAAATAAGAAAGTCCAAATACAGCAAACACATCTTTTTCTATGGACCAACAGTGGAAAAAAGACTATGGATCCACTGAACTTGGGGCTGGACAAAGAGGAAAAAAAAATTTAAATTTACCTCAACTGTTCCATAAATTGTTTCAAGTCAAATGATGACAATTTAAAAATAAACTATGTCATACCCTTGATATTGGTAAAGATGAAATTGTTGAATAACATTATGGCATATAAGCTCTCCATAAAATAGAAACAAAACTATCTTTTAATACAGATGCTGAGGAACTGACAAGGTTCTCATGTAGCTAAATAGATCACTGCTGCAAACATAAAAAGAATTTAATTAATGCAATTACAATCTGATGTCTCAGTAAATTATAAATCAGTACATGTATCAAACCTACCTTCATGGTTATCTATAAATAGTTGAGACTAAAATTCCTGAATGCTAAGGACAAAAACAAAGGCTTTATCTCCAGATAGCTAATTTAGTAACCATATTTTTACCAAAATTACCAACTATAATCAGGAAGTAAAAAGAGTTAGAATATCACCATTTTGCAAGCTCTAGTAAACTAATGCATTTAGGCAATTATCAACAACAGCTGTTAACATCACAAGAAGTAACAACTAGATTATAATGCCCTTTATGGGAAAGACTTAACAAACACACAAAACAAAAATAAAACCTTAACTTCACTCTGAGGTAAAAGCTGCCACTTATGTGTAGCTTTTACATTTAAACTTAATTAAAATTAAATAAAATGAGAAATTAAATAAAATGATCTCCTTAGTCACATTTCAAGTGTTCACTTAGCACAAGTGGCTAGAGGCTAACACACACATATAGAATATTTTCATCATCATAGAAAGTATACCAGGCACCTATACTATAAATCTAGCTACCAATTAGTAAGAAATAATAGAGGAAAAAGGGGACATTAAACAACACTGAAGCATTAAACTGAGCTGGGCACAGTGGTATATGCCTATAATCCCAACTGCTTAGGAGGCTGAGGCAAGAGGAGGACCACAAATTTAAGGCCAGGATGGGAAACTGAGTCAGCTTTTTTGTTGCTGGGACAAAATACCTGACATCTGCAACTTAAAGGGGAAGAAGTTTATTTTGGTTTATGGCTTCAGAGAGTTCAGTCCATTATCAGCTGGCTGAAAGGCAGAAACAGCATGTCAGAAAAACCTGGTGGAGGAACACTGTTCATCCCTTTTCAGCTGGGAAGCAGAGCACAGGGGAAGAGGGAGAATGAAAAAGAGATACACCTTCCAAAGACAACCCCAGAGACCTACCTGTAATTGGGCCCCAATTTATATAACAGCACATTCAGCTATGAACATCAATGCATTAATCCATTGATAGGTATATTGTCCCTATGACCCAATCACCTCTCCAGGAGTCTCTTAATCCAGTCAACTTGACAAGATTAACTGGCACAGCAATTTAGTTATATCCTGTCTCAAAATAAAAAAGGGATGGAGATGTGTAGGTCAATGGTACAGCTTGCTTGGCATATGCAAGGTCCTGGGATTCAACCCCCAGTATCACAAAAAAACAAAACACAAAAGGGATCCGAAGAGCAAAGTTTGGACAGGGAAACTCTACAGTGTAATTGACCAATTTATTCACTAAATAGAGAAACTTACAAATCAAAAGATATTTAATTGCAAATTGCTTAACTGGTTGTTTGACATAGATACAAACTCACCTAGATTCTGATCCAAACTAAAAGCAAGCCTTATGAAATAATTAATAAATTTGAAAAATAACTAGATATTATTACATTTCAAAAGAAGTGATAATGGTATTGAGTGTGTGTGTGTGTGTGTGTGTGTGTGTGTGTGTTTTTCAGGGGGGTATCAAACCTAAGGCCCTCATGCATGATAGGCATGGTCTCATCTCCACCACCAAGCTATACTCTCAGCACTATTATTTTTTTTTCCTCACTGAGTTTATTGGCACATTTTAGGTATACAGTACAGTTACATTCATTATTGGGATCTTGTACCTTTACATGATAGATCTTGGTTCTCATTTTTTCCCCTTGTCCCTGCCCTCCCTTCACCCCTCCTCCCTCTCCCTTTACAAACACATCATTCCATTTTTTCATTTTCTCGTATTTTTTCTTTTTCCCTTATTACCTTTCCCCTACCCTTCCCACTTTCCCTACACCTTTAGCCCCTTTCTTCCTATTTCACATAGTCCATTATATCATTAGGATCTTATGTACTATTATAGTTTATTCACACCAGAGAAACTATTCGGTATTTACACATGTGTGACTTATTTATTTCACTTAGGAGTATATCCTCAATGTGTATTCATTTTCCTATGAATGAATCTAATTTCTCATTCTTTATGGCTGAGTTCCCAATTCGAAACTATACTACAAAGCCACTGTGATTAAAAACAGCATGGTACTGGCAAAGAAACAGATCTGATGATCAGTGGAACAGATTGGAAGACACAAAAACAAATCCAGATGTACTCAGCTACGTCATCTTTGATAAAGGAGCTGACCATCCTCAGTGGAGGAAAGATAGCCTCTTTAATAAATGGTGTTGGAAAAACTGGATCTCAATCTTCCAAAGATTAAAACTGGACCCTTATCTTTCACCATGCACTAAATTAAAATCCAAGTGGATTAAAGATCTAAATATTAAAATAGAAACACTAAACTTGCAGAACTCTTGAAGACATTGGCATAGGAAAAGATTTTATGCACAAATCCTCAGTAGCACTGGAACTAGCAGAAAGAATCAACAACTGGGATCTCATCTTATTAAAAACCTTCTACACTACAAAAGAAACCATCAACAGAAGTGAGAGACAACCTACAATGTGGGAAAAAATTTTTGCCAGCTGCTCCTCAGACAAAGGACTATTATCTAGAATATATAAAGAACTCAAAACAATCAGTCCCCCAAATATAAAGACCCAATTCAAAAATGGGTATCTGAAATGAACAGATATTTCTCAGATAAAGAAGTAAAAACAGCAAGTAAATATATGAAAAAATGTTCCACATCACTGATCATTCAAGAGATGCAGATGAAAACAACACTGAGATTCCACCTCACCCCACAAAGTGGCTGCTATCAAGAAATCAAACAATAACAAATGTTGGAGAGGTTGTGGGGAGAAAGGAAACCTTCTCCATTGTTGGTGGGAGTGTAGACTGGTGCAACCACTATGGAAATCAATATGGAGATACCTCAAAGAGCTGGGACTAGAGGTTCCATTTGACCAAGCCATCCCTCTGCTGGGTATCTTTCCAAAAGAATTAAAAGAATTATATCACAGAGAAGTATGCGCACCTATGTTTATAGCAGCACAGTTTGTAATAGCTAAAACTTGGAAACAGCCCATTTGCCCATCAGTTGGAAACTGGATAAAGAAGATGTGGTTTTTCAGCCTATTATTTTTGTTTTTGTTTTTGGTACTGGGGATTGAACTCAGGATCTTGTGCTTATGAGGCAGGCGGTGGAACCACTGAGCTAAATCCCCAGCCTTCAGCCCTAATATTTTTAATGAGTCTTCAGAATTTACAGATACAAACTGAAACTTTATAGGTCAAATGATATGAAAACCGAAATTTGCCTCAATATAACAGGGGGAAATAGGGGGAGGGAATGAAAGGAAGACAGGAGTATATGAGTGATACACAGTTGAATGTTAGAGATGAATAGGAGGGCTCATTACACTTTTTTTCCTACCTTTGTATATATTTGAAATTTTCTAATATAAACAGATAAAAGAAAGAGTAAAAAATGGGTAAAAGAAGGACAACAATGAAAGACAAGAAAAAATAAAAGAAATATATGACAATGGTAGAATGAAAACAAGCACAGAGAAAGTTGTGCTTTCAAACTCATCCCAGCATCCCTCAATTCTCTCTCTCCTCAAAATCACAAAAAACAAAACCCTTCAAACAGGTTAGAACAATAGAAAACACATGAAACTGAGATCACAAATAATATACTTTGAGTAATGGGGCAACCAACTTGGCCTTAGGGGAGGTGGTTATGTCCTCGTGGCTAAGAGTATGGACCATGCAATCAGTTTTGGCTGAGTCCTTGTGCCTCAAATCACTGACTTGGGGACCATGACAAGTTATGTAACATTTTAAAATTTCAATTTCTGTAACTATAAAATGCAGAGGAAATTACCTCCTTCAATGGCTGAAATAAAGTATTTAAAGAAGTATAGCACAGGGCTTGACATAGGAAAAAAAACCCTGAATTTTGCTCCTAGGTTCAAGTTTTCTAGAGAGCTAATGAGAAAAATTAAGAATTCAGATCATTGGTCCCTTTTGTCTCTAAATTGATTCTATAAAGTAGAATTAATTAAACTGAGAAACATACTCATTGAGAAAATATTTAGCTTAAAAATCAGCATGTATGCATTTTCAGGTAATAATGCAATATAAAGAATATACGGAATATAGGAAGGAATTCCTTTTCATATTGAACTGGTAATCACATCTTTTTAAAAGGATGAATATATACTATCATTATACAAATCACTTTAGAACAAAAAATCCAAAACCCAGCTTCTATCCACTCAAGCCAGAAATAATCAGATCACAGGGCTAAAAATCCTAAATTTGACTTTTTTTCACTTCTACATATTTTCTCCCTCTTTCACTTCCCCTTTTCAAGGAAGCAAACCACTCATCTTGAGACAAATCATTTTTTGCACTAACTTCTTCAATTTTTTCCCCTTTTTTTCATTCACTTCACCAGTCAGCTTGCAAACATTCATTGATCAAATTTTATGAGCAAAGGCATAATAAGTACAACA